CGAGTCGCACGCGCTTTGGAACTGTCATAATTAATATATCTTTGATCTCGATTAGACATTTCACGTTTTGCCGGAAATGTCCGACCGACACCACATTGATAAATCTAATTATTTCTCTTTTTTTTTTTTAATCCATTCGATTACCGTACACGCTGCTTTGAGAGAATCTACGCGACATTTTTTTCCTATTTAATACTTACGTATCGTAAAAACGCAATTTGATTAGATTTTTATCACTCTTACTAGTTTCGATTGCAATTTTAGGTAAGCCTTGTGAAATTTAATTAGCCGTGAATATTTTAATTTTGCTGGTAGAGAACGATAATCCTAAATCCTATCACGATATTCACCGTCTATGTTCTTCAAATGAAAACGAAGTAGTAACTTCCTTGATAATTTAACTTACTCCATTATTCGGTGCATAGAAATTGCGATAAATACTGATAGTTTTATAGCTTTTTTAAATTTAATCCACGTATTCATATTAAATCGTGCGATGAGCTTTCAAGTGGCGATGGTATTAAATTATTACATTAAATTAAATTATATTAAATCAAATTGAAGTTAGAAAACGTAGTATTGTTAATCGTAGTTCATCAACGATCGGTAAGAAGTAGAAATTAAATGTTAGAATTTTTGCTTGGAATAAGGATAAATTTTTATTTATAAAAAAAAATTAATTTTATGGACGAAACGAAGGAAATTCTATCGATATATTCGAAGATCGATCATTTGTATGCGCGTGAGTATGAAAAATTTCATCTTCGTCTTAAGCGTAATAATTTTCAATCAATTTAGCAAAAACGTATTGATAGAAAGAGTTTTAAAAATCAAGGAAATTAAATTTCATCTATTAAAATATGGTAAATAAAGGATTAATGTTAAATAATGGTAATTTTATCGTAGCTTCATAATTTTCGCACACTTTCAAATTTACCGATACGAAATTTAAATAATTTAATAAAAATATTTTACACTATCCTATAATTTTGTTCGTACATGGCTATTTAATTATCTTAATCCGTCATAGCTGCAAGTACATTATCTGACATTATCAACTATTATTCAAATTTTCTCTAGATCTATCATAATGCAATAATACCGTCTTAATATTTTTGACTCTTTATGAATCTCTGAATTTCAGATTTACAATCCTAAAAGTCTAAGCGTGGCGTTGAATACGAAAATATCATTTTACGTTCACATTGGCTAAAATTTTCCATCGAACAGCTGCAGTTGTGCAATGAAATTGTTTATTGCTCTTCGTCATAAGTAGAAGGACGAAAGATGCTTGATAACAAGAGATTTTGTTGATTTTTAATTTTTAAATCTAATACACCAGATGTATTGTTTATTAATATTGAGGTATTTTAAACTATTTGATCGATGCATTAAAATAGTTTAAGCTCTATGTATGAAAAAATTGCCAATATTTTATGCATTTAAATGCAAATAAAATTCATATTTTTAGGATTCATATAGTTCCCGATGGCTATTCTAATATATCTATATAACACGTGCGCTTCAATGACTTTTCTAATGACTTTCGGTAAATATTATTGTTCTTCTAAAAACAATGTCTTAATCTGATTTAAGTTCTTGGAATAAATTGTCGAAATAAGTATTAAACATCCGCTAAACATTAAAATTTTACGTATCGTTATCGTTTATATAACTTTTTTTTTCTTTATTTAAATTTTCATCGTTGATTTGGGATCAGGAATTTTTGTACAAATAGATATTTAAATTTATTCCTAATTAGAGACGTGCTTTATACAAAGTGCACAACCACATTTGTTTAATTATTCGTTTGTTTCTTTATTTTGAGTATTAATTTTTTTTTTTTAATTTTCAAGTAAATCATGTTAATTAATGTTTTTGAAGCAATTTAACATTGTTGTACATACGGTCATTTTCATAATTATCCAAGATACTCTTCTCTTCGTTTCAAGCTTTTATCGAACTGTAAAATCTTTTCCTTTTGCGATACCGACTACTTTTCCTATTTGCACCAGGTTCTACTAAAATATTGATCGCTAGTGTACGCTAGTAAATAAATATGCAAACAAATTATATTTATTATATATATTTGACATATAAAAATAAAAGTGACTTACTATATAAAACAAATTTTTTTCATAAATTGATGGATTTTAGTGCGATGTATCGAATTAATTGTTTTCAATAAATTAGCAGCTAATAAATCATTATGAATTCAATTAATCGCTTGAAAAATTGTTGAATTTAAGGATCGACGATGAAAAGTATCCAAAGTTTCATGCTACTTCAAGTTCGGGTGAACAGAGAGAGAGAGAGAGTGAGAGTGAGTGAGAAAATGTGCTATGGTTGAATAGTAGTAAAAAATTTTGCAACTAAATGAAAGCATTATTAACGCTTTTATATTATTAATAGTATAGAAATTTCTTATAAAAGAGTTGCGATATTTAAAAAACCCATAATTTAAGACAATTTCTTTGTTGCCGATGTTTGTATTAGGTTTTTGCTTTATTCCATTTCTATTAAAACTTGGTTGAAGTTTTAGCACGGCTATGTTATGAGAGAATTATCCTTCTCTGCCCCCCCCCCTTCCCGCAACCCTACACCCAAGATTTAATTACTATTGATAGTCATCTGACTCTTATTTTCGAAATCCTTTACATCTGTTGATGATTTAATCATAAATATATTTGAAATACATAAGGAATAACGTAGAGAAAAGAGAATACATATGCGTTCTGTTCCAATTAGATAAGTTTCATAAATTCTAACATTTTCCAAGAGTAGAAAAACAAATTATATCACTCACTATACTAAATTATTCTCTAAAATATAAATATTTTAATTAGAGTAGCAAATCAAGATTTCCGTTTTCGTAATAAACAGCATCAAAAATATTATTTAATATTTCATGAATTTATTAGAATCCATTTAAATTACAATTACGTGAGAAAAATCACGTTATCAATGATCATTCATCATTCTGTATTAATATACAATTACATTGTATTTTATTAATGTAAATTAAACATTTTTATAAAGTTAAGAAATAATATTTTTTTTACATTCTTATATAGTTCATTGCACGATACTTATAAACGTAAATAATTGGATTGCTTAATTCACGATTTTCGATCCACGAATCGGACAATTTTTATAATTTATATTATTATTAATTCACGCGCAAATATATCATTCATGCACTGATTATATATTCAAATTATATAAAAGCTATGATTTTGATGTTTTTCAGCTACAGGAACACTCAAACGTATTGAAATATCGTAATTGAGCAAAACGCTCGATTGGCATTCGGGCAAGTAAAGTTTTAAAAAATTAGCTAGAAAAGTTTACGATTAACAAATATTGGAAGTAAAAGTTCTTAAGGCTAGAGGTGTAAAATTCAACGTTGAGCACATTTATTTTGCATTGAAAGGCCACTTTCATTCCATGTTAGAAGAGACATTTTTCTCATAGTTCTCATAGACATTCTCTCATATTTGACTCAATTCATTACCGATTCGATGATTGTCTTGATTTATTATTAAAGACCTCTCTATCATCGACGCGCAATGCTTCTTAATGCTTTTCAACACATCCGTTTGATTAAAGAAGCGAATAACAGTCAATTAGATAATTAAATTGTTACATAGTTTGTTATCAAAGCCTTTTTTATGATAATCTTCAGCTGCGAGTTAATAGTAGATATTTAGAAGTTAGTCGGCTGTTATTCAAAAGCTCATAATGACGAGGAAATAAATCGAAGTAGTGCAAGATCACGTATCATACGTGCAATTAACCACTGCATAATTTACACGAGGACTCTCGCAGGAAGAAAACAATTCATTAGGATTAAGCGTAATTCCAGAGTAGCCTCGAATTAAACGTATTCGATTAAGAGATAACAGGTCGTCCTTTTTCGCTCGAGTCGACAGTCAATCGACGATTACGATGTGCATTTTTTTAATTGAGTTTCATCTAAATTCTTGTCTAGAGCGTTCGATTGAATTTATCCCAATGTTCACGTATTTATGATAGATAAGCTTCCCCTACTTTCAATCTGTTTTCATGATTTTCTTATACATCATACTGCCCGGC